GGCGCGCGGTGCGCACGGACCGGCCCGGAGCGGGCTGCTCGGGCTCTCAGGCTGCGCGCCGGCTCCGCGCTCCCCCTGCGGGCTCGGCGCGCCTCCCGGGCAGCCCCATCCCCCGCCGGCGGCGGCGGCGGCCCCGCGCGCGGCTCGGCTCAGGCAGGACCCGAAGCGCGGCTCCGGGCGGCGGCGGCGGCGGCTTGGTCCCGTCCGGGCGGGTCCTGCGGGACAAGACGGGGAGCGGTCACGGGGTGGGGCGACGGGCGCTCCTGGAGCAGGAGGGGAACGGCGGGCAAGCGGGGAGGGAGCGCGCAGCCCTCGAGGAGCACGGCTCCGGGCCGGGAGGGGCGCGGAGCCCGCTCCCAAGACGGGCCCGGCAGCCCTGCGCGCCGGGAACCGAGGGCGCACGGGCCAGCCCTTTCGGCGCCTCCCGGCCCCACAGCGCGCTCCCGCCGGAGGCTGGCTCCCTGGGACCGAGCCGGCCGAGGCTGGGGTCCGGCGGCGAGCGGGGGAGCGCGCGGCGACTGGACCTCACTCACTCACCATGCCCGGCTGCGACTGCAGAGGCGGCGGCCGCGGCGGCGAGGCGGGAGCGCAGCGGCCGGAGGAGCGAGCCGAGAGCTGCGGGCTCGCCGCCTGCACTAGTGCCGGAGCGTGTGTGAGAGGGAGCGAGGGAGACACACGCACTCACACACCCGCACACACGGGAGCGCCGCGAGGGGAGGGGAGGGAAGACAGCCGCTCTCCGCCGCCCACGTTTACACGCCTGGGCGCCAGGGGTGGGGGACTCCTTTTTTGCTTCTCCCCCCTCGCGGCACTTGAAGCGCCGCATCACCAAAGCCCCGGACACCAGTTAATTAACAAGGCGACACAGGCGGGGGAAGAGGGGGCCAGGAGCAGGGCGGGAACGTCCTCTCTGGAGCCGACCCGCGGCGGGGCCAGACCTCCCCTGCCACTGCCCCCCTGCAGCCCCCGCAGCAGGTCCCTTGCTACCCGAGCGCTGCGCTGCCAGACGGGAGTTGGGGTTTCTGCAAGCCTCTGCCTCTCCCTAGTGGTGACGCTCGCAGCCAAGAGAAAAGGTCAAACCCATTGCTACAGGTTCCCAAACTGAGGCCAGGAGTCAAGTGGCTTGTCTGAAGCTGCTGGACCACCAGGGAGCTGAATCTACGCTCTCTTCCCTTTGGTCAATCCCCTCCCCACTTCGCCCCCAAACGTGCACAAAGGTGCAAGGCAGCCCCAGGCTGGGAAGGGACTCCCCTTCCCTCTTTCCTGGGCTTTTGTTCAGAGCGCTGAAGCCATGTTAGAAAAGCTGTCTGAGCCTCTAAGTATCAGCTTTGTGACCAGTTTATCCCTGCACTGAAATCCCTGCGCTGTTGCTGATCGGGCCGGAGGGACGGAGGTGGGGGGTGGGAGGGCGTTCCTGTGTAGTTGCACTGTGGGTCTGTGGAAAGGAGACCGGAGTCTAACTTTCAAAGCTGTGAGGCCACCCCAAGAGGAAGTCACAAGCATCATCTTTGGTATGTGTCCTTCGAGGAGATGGGGGAACCCAGAACAAAAAGCAGTGGCCAAGGCCAAAATGCTGCCTGCTTGCCCAGTGAACTTTGGTTGTAGGCAGGGGACAGGCTGTCAGAGTGAGGGTGGTAGAGAACTTTCCCTGAGACTATCTGTGCAGTCCCACTCATGTGTGACCCAAACCAGGAATCCCCTTCCTGGAAAGGCAGAGTGCCTCTTCTGGGAACGGTGGAATGGATAAATTGGAGCTGGAACCCAGATTCCAAGACACAGAAGAAGATCCTGATTCTGTGGGGTGGAGGGTACACAAACTCCCCTGGCAGCTCCCCACTTGCTTCTCTCTCCATTTCCCCCCTTCTTCTGCTCCCCCTCCCATGCCCTCAACTTCGTCTCAGCTGCCACCCTCTTCTTAATGATTCTGTTCAAGAAGCATTCGTGGTGCCTACTCTGCACCAGGCAGAATGAATAGGAAGGGGGATCTCGTACACCGCTGGGGAAACAGATAAACAAATGGCATGGGTATGTCCCTTGTTCCTTGATGAAGGTGGACACAGAGTGCTCTGAGAGCCAAAGACAGGCACCAGCCTGGCCCTAGAGGGGAGAGGTGGGGGTCAAAGGCAGCTTTCTCAGTGAGGTGAAAAGCAGAATCTTGAAGAATGATTAAGAGTTAATAGAGCAAACAGGCCGGGAAAGATGCTCCCAGCAGAGGGAACATTCTCAGCAAAATCAGGAAGACAGGAAGTGGTGAGGGTGTGTGAGCAGGGAGCAGTTTAGCATAAGCCCTGAAAGAGCCTTCCAAAAAGGCCAGCAGGAGGGCATTGTATCCCTCTTCCCCCACCCCCCTCAGAGAACTTGAATTTATTCTGCAGTTGATGGGGAACAATTGGTAGGTTTTAATCTGAGGAAGATCCTCTCAGATTGACATGTTTGCTGGATCCCTGAGCTAAACGGAATAGGGAACCGGATGCAGGAAAAGCAATTGGAAGCTGTCCTGATAATCCAAGTAAAAAAAAACCGATGAAGCGATAAAGTAGATTACTAGAAGTCGGTGCCCATGGTGGAGATAATCAAGGTCAAAAGAGCAGGTTCAGGATTGAATTAGCAGTAGTGATGCTGTTTGCCTTTGAGAGACCTAAGGGGAGCTGTCCAGCCTAAGAATTGCAAGCTCAGGAGAGCTGATAAAATGGGCACATACATTTGGGAGTCACAAGAACATGTTTGAAGACAAGAGCCCTGTATCTTTACCTTCATACTATGTACAGTTTCTAAGCCATTCCCTTTCTTTTCTCTTCCCTGAGCTTTCACCTGTCCTTCATTATTTCAAAATTTGCTTTTCCATATCTGGGAGCTTCCTAGCCATGGGTAGAAGAAATATTTCCTCCTCACATAGGACTCTAATAAGATTTGATCAGTGGAACTGAATAAGGGAAACTGATCTGGCTTCTCAGACCATCGCCACCCACAAATGTATCCAGAACCCCTGTGCTCATAAATGGTGGCATCAACAGACTCACAGCAAGTAACAGTACTCAGGGTTAGGTAAGATCTTAGGGGTTGTGTATTGCAACCCTCGCTGTAGTATACTATATTTCTCATTGACACTGCAGCCCTCCCGGTTTGCCTTTTGTAGTAGACCAGGTTGCTTGGGTACCAGCATGCATTTCTCCATTTTCCCCTCCTAGTTTCAATCCCAAATTGTTGACAGTATTGAAGTGCCCTTTCTTTGTGGATTTGACTCAATATAAAGTACCAGAGAAGAATGATCTTTTCCAACACCTACACCAACTTCAGATAGCACCGTGGTTCAAAGGAAAGTGACCCAATCCCTGGATCTAAAAGGTCAATCTCAAACTAGGCTGAGCTAAACATAATATTCCTATTCCCCCTAACAGTGACTGCATAAGAATGGACCCGTGGCCAGGAGCAGTGGGTCACGTCTGTAATCCCAGCCACATGGGAGGGAGGCTGAGTCAGAAGGATCGCTTGAGCCCAGGAATTCAAGACCAGCCTGGGCAACATAGTGAAACTCTATCTCAAGAAAAAAAAAGAACGGGCACATGATCCTCCAGTGCTGATCAGTACTCATTGGGGAATTCTAGGAAAAATTACATTGCTCTTAAAAATAGTGATAATTCCTCTTGTTTGTTTAAGTGTTATTTCTCTGGATGCTATGACATCAGGGGAGGGGGCCACCAGCTGTGAGTTGAATTCGATATTTAATCTGATAGTTATTAGCAGTGCTAACTAAATATCTCTGCCTTCCAGGCATATAGTAGAATTGCAATTTCTGGCCCACTTGTGAGTAGGAGGAGAAAGTGACTAGTATCAATCTATGAGTTGTGAGCAGAAATGATGTGTGTTATTTCTGAACCAGAGCATCTAATTGCTGCTGCAAGACACTCTAGAGCTCTCATTTTCTTCTGGCATGGTAATGAACAATGCTCTATATGGGAGTGGTTTTGGCAGTATGACTGCAGTGAGGAATGCCTGATAGCTAATGAAAACAGTGCCTACTATGGACATGTTGCATGAGTAAAAAAATTTATGTACTTTTGCTTTTTAAAGCCACTGGAATTATTGTAGCATATCCTAGGCCATCCTGTCTGCTACACTGAGGATGGCAGACGGAAAGGTAGAAAGGATGTTACTGAGCCACTCGTAGAACTATGCTCAGGGTCCTCCCAAGTCTGGTCTTCCAGTAATGTGAGATGATTAAATTTCCTTTTGTTGAAGCCTGTCTGAATCCAAAATTTCTCTTACGTGCAACCAGTGGTATCTGTCTCTGTTCTGTCTTCAGTTTCTCTCGGGTTTCTACCTAGCTATGCAACTTCGTACTAATCATATAAATCACTTCTATGGGATTCAGTTTTCTCCTTTCTAAATGGTGAGCTATAAGGGGGAAGTGTCTCTAAGAAGCCATCTCTATTGTCTATTCCCACTGTGAATCTTTACCATAGCTCCCAAGTGTGAACTTGGCCCATGGCCTGGCACGATCGGGTCTGGTACTATCCTTCTAAGTTTGTCTCCTGTTACTCTCACCTTACTCCCCACTTCAGGCCAGCGTGCCCTTTTGTTTCCCAAATCCTTTGTATGTGCTCTGCTCTCTGCCTGGAACTCCTTCCCCTAAATGTATGCCGAGTTCTTTCTCCCACTTCTCTAGGTTTCTGCTTAACATTACTAATGAAAATAGCACAACCGTCATACCACTACCCAACATTTCTTCTTCTTTCATGTTCTACCTTCACCTCATCATGAGGCATTTTCCAGCACAGTATTTATCACTAACTGATACATATTCATTTAGGTATTTTTAAAGATTCTTTTCTCACCTTCCACCGGAATGCCTGCTCTTGCCTGAACTTTGTTGTCTTTTGTGTTAATTGCTGTCTCTTCAATGCCTAGAACAGTGCTTAGTAGGCGAGGTGGACCCAGAAGTATTAATACTCATCTCCAGCTGCCAGTTCCTCTAGGGTCTGCCTCAGCTGCAGAAAATCACCTCCCCTGGGAACAGAGCCTTCCTTCCCCAGGGGCCCACATCCAATTCAAGATTAGGGTATCATGGCCCAGCTATTTCAGCCGAATGCAAGAATACAGTGGGCAGTATTTTCTCTAAAGCTGCATAGCTCCCTGGGTCAAGGCTTGTGGGGCCTGTATCATGTCTGCCCAGTCTTGCTTCCTCTCCCATTTCCACTGGTGTTGATCCCTAAAATATAGTCTGCATGCCCAATTTTGTCTCAGCATCTGCCTCAAGAGATCTGGGCCTATACCCAAGGCATTCGGGAAATATGTACTGAATGAATAAGTGAATGAATGAAGGAGTCTATGAGCCCCAAATTCTCTCAGTGGCATCTCTATAAGTGATTATATGGCTTTTGCTTTATCATAGCTAGTGGCAAGTTAGAAACTATCTCCTACGGCTACCAATTCTGATGTTAAATACTTCTAATAGTTAGGAAATTAGAGTACATTGGCTTTTGTTAATGTTGCCGATAGGCAAATCAATTTAGTGGCTCATACTGAGCTTATAGTTGACTAGAGTGTTTTTCACATTATGATGACTTTTTGCATCCATGTGAAATACTACATACACATTTTAGCTTATTTTACAAATTTAAGCCCATTATTTCAGCCTTTTAAGCATTTTAGGAACTTGTCACCCAATATGCTATTTCTCTCAAAGTAGACATTTGTCTCTTGCCTCCCAACATTTTTTTTCCTTTCTTCTAGCCACAGTCCCTGATATTTAGGCAGATTTATCTTCCACCACTCTCATTCCATGGGTTTTACATGAGGTTTCATACAATCCCGATTTAAGCCAAA